TTTTTCTTAGCTAAGATAATTTGGCTTATGAGAGCTAAACTGGAAATCTGAGCCTCAGATTTCTGTTACCTAGTTAAGGGATCAGGATCACATAAAGGGTTAATGTCTGCTCCTCCAGATGTGAACTTCATTAATCTAATCTAAAACATCTTGAGACATAATAATACACATATTTTCAATTACAACAATTATTTAAACAGCCCTAATCTTGCACTTCATGAAACCATTTACATTCACTCTAATGTCAAGCTCTGCAGGGGAATATGTTAACACAGGAAATGCAGCATCTTCTAATTACAGTACTTCTATAACACAGAAACATAACTGAGTTTATGAAGGCTGAGCTGAGAGCACAGGCTGCCCTGTGTCAGACAGGGATGCAGAAGCACCGGTGCTGGTTGCAGACAGGTGGGTATATTATATTTTCTTTCTATGGAGACATCTACATACACGCCTAGGAAAAGATGTACTACCACTGCAAAATGTGCTTGTCATTTTGGAACAAGATGATACTGCTTGATTGAGCAGCTTCCATAGTTACAGGTCATAAAAGAATCACTCAACAGCTTGGAGGCTACAGCTGAGAAACAAGTCCCCCAGATCTTATTTAAAATCATGTAATTTCTTCTGCTTTTATTCTATTGTTACAAAATGTGAATTCCTTAGATTACAGTGGTAATAGTAAATAGTAAAATATGACAACAAAGCTGCATGATGCAGACAGGCCTTAGAGAAGATTTGAGCCATAGTCAGAAAGGCAACTTTGGATATATGAAGCTCACAAGATAAAATAATAGCGAAATGTGGATGGGAGACAGAAAAGACTCATAATAACAAAATGGCAAACTTGATGGACTGGAAAGCCAATCAAAAAGGAAAGAAGCTAAGTGTTTTAAAGGAGAAATTACTCAGGGATGAAATAATGTCAGAAATAGTGAAGTGAGAGTGGGGAAAAAAATAGGTGAGAAGAGAGACTGATGGGATGGAAACAAGAACAAAACTCAATGAATGAGGGACTGACAATCAAGAGGGACGCAGGGAATGAGTAAAAAAATCTGACATGTAAAGAAAGTGTAGGAACTAGCTACAGTGGACAGAAGAAGTCCATCCAAAATGAGACAATAGTAACTTAGAATCAATTGCTTTGAAAACCAGAATGTCATGCTGATGTACTGAAGCTTTAAAGGATGTGTCTGAAAAACTAGTATAAATTTGCAGATGGGAAGACTACAGGCTACTCTGGACAGGGTGCTAATGCTGCAGCAGTGTGTTATCCTTCATGATAGCAGAACTACATCCAATGCCAGCATGAGTAAATGAATGGGCAGCTGAGAGACACTCACTTTCTATCGAAATTCACTGCTAGTTTGGTACCATGCTGCTTCAACTGCCTTCATAAATCCTGTGCATACCTTCAGTTTTTCTGGTATCTGTTAAGATTTTCCCCACTGGTGACTGTGATATGTAAAAAGGTAGTAAAATGTAGTTGACAACAACACCAGCCTGTGCTAAAGTCCTTGATGTGATATCTGCACAAACAGTAAAGACTGTTTCTACCAAGAGCAAGTTGCCCTGAAGAGCTCTTCTGTCACTTCATTACACTCAATCACCAAAATATGAATGCGGCCTTTGGAGATGCAGCAACCTGTTTTTTTCCTTGAACTTGACTGAATTGCTGACTGTCTATAGCTCACAAACTGACTCCAGAAAGGCAAGCAAGAAAGTATGTCCTTCCTGAATAAATGTATGGATATGCCTTCAAACTTCACATCCACTTCAAGTGATTATCTCAACTGATTGGTGTTCTATTTCAGTGGTGCTACACCCATGCTGTAAAGACTCACAATTGCCCCTCTCTCTGACCCTACACTCCCCTTGGTAGAAGGCCATTCACCAGCAGCCAACACAGCAAGCGCTGTAGTTCCCGTAAGGGCTCTGATACACACAAAGAAATCAAAATCTGTCTTAAAACAGCGAAGGAATCTTTTGTGCAAAAAGTTTCCAAATGTATCAAAAGCTACTCCATCCAATAACAGTCCCTCAACCCACCTGCTAGCAGGAAGGCTGGGCAGTGCAGGGGACTGGGGCTGGGAGGGGGTGATGGGGAGGGATTTTTTTTCAAATTGTAATTGCTTGGGTTTCTGATCCAAGGTAAATGACAAGAAATCGAAAAACACCCCCAACACACATATTTCAACCAAAGCAAGCGCTTGGGATTATTTTTTCCCTTCTGTGTCTATTTGAAGGTATTCTCCTGAGTTGACAAGCACGTGTTTTGGAGACCATTGAAAAGTTTCTGCCATAAATAGAGGAGGCAGCTTGGCTTAAGTGTTGCTAGGGAATACCTGGCAACAGGCAACAATAGTCCTTTTAGAGAGCCCAGGGCAAACAGTGACCGTGGTAATGGGGTGGGCTTAAGGGAGGCTCCTTGCCCAAAGCCCCTCCACTCACACTGCGCCTCCAGCCCTGGGCTGTGTTCCGGAAATTCCCCGCACAAAGCCCCCCATTCAATGGGAGGCGGGCCCGTGCGTGTGCTTTTCTGGTGGGGAGGGGGGTGTGGAGGGAGGGAGGAGGCCTTCTTGCCAAAAAAAAAAAAAAAAAAAAAAATCCAAAGTTTTGTGGGTTTTGTTTTTGCATAGGCTAAGAGAAGCACAGAAAGTGCTAAGTTTGTAAAAGAGGCTGAAAAGGTTCAGAAAGGAGCATAATGGGACCAGGGAATGCCTCGTGAATTTTGAACAGAGAGCAGAAAAGAGACCCTAAAAAGCAATTAGTGATGCTGCTTGTCGCTGAAGAGGGAGCTTGAAGGAGGTGGGAAGGCGCAAAAGGAAGAGGGCAACTCCAATCACTTAGTAAAGCATGAGTGAAGTGGGGCACAGGGCTGGAGACTGGAGCCTTCTGCGATGCTGGCGGTAGGACGGGAGGGAGGCACACGGCGAGGGCAGCGGCCGAGGCGTGCCGGCAGCCCAAGGCACATGCCAAGCTGTGTCTTGGCGTGGTCTCTTCTCCCCTGCTCATTTCTGTAAAGCTGGGGAAGCAGAGGGCAGGGCTGCGCTCCCTCGGCTACAAGGATGCACCTCACATCTCTGCAAGGAGGGCTTCACAGCCACCTCACTTCATTTCCAGAGCCTGCACATGCTCCTATTTATCTTCACATTCCTTGTGCAAAATAAAAAATAACACTGTATGCTCATTAGCTGGGAGTTATTAGGAAGAAGGAAAAAAATAGACAAAAAAAGGGGCTGTCTGAACAGGCCTGAATAGCTATAACCTTAATGGGTTGTCAGAAGTCTGCTGGCAGCAGGGTAAGGGCAGCCAATCCCCCTCCAGTCTTTTGTCCCAGACATTGTTTAGGATCAGTGGTAGCTCATTAGGTCGGGACAGTAATATTTGTAACAGTCCTGCAGGGCTGAGGCTCCAGACCGTATCTTCAGCTGCTTTCCTGCTGTCAGTCTGATTCACAGAGAGGTATTTATCTTGACAAAGATACTTTTGTGGAAAGTGCAATTCACCTCCCATATCCTGATCATCAACCTTTGATGAAAGCTGCTTCTAAAATGGGTACAGGTGAAGCTGGGCACCTTTCCTGCATGTACACAGATGTGATACAGTGACAGGAAAGCTGTAAAAGCCAAGTTGCTGTGTCCTCAGCTCATCATTTGGCCTTACACTTTGCCTCATTGTATTTTCAGATTTCACCTACGAAGTAGGGATAATCACCCATTTTGCATTGTAGGGGTGGTATAGGAAAAAGTATTAGACTGCAAGTCATTCTGGCAAAAAAACGGTGCAAATTAGATTTTTCTTAGTGGTGTATAATACCCCTCACACTTTATATTTACTTCCGGACTAGCAGCATGAATCTGCTAAGGAGGACAGTAGAGTTAAACCTCCCCTCTGACACCTCTGCTCTTGAAAGCCTGGATGTAGGCTTGGGTCCCATTCCCTGAGAGATCAAATCCCCAGTTTTGGTCATATATATCATCCGATGGTGCCATAAATTCAATATGACCTATTAGCAAAGTGATGAAACTGAAGGATAATTGATCACTGGATATATTTTCTTGTCATTAGGCAACACATTATACATTCACTTGTTAATCTCACCAGTCAGAGAGAGCAAAGTGCATCCTCATTCTCTGCTCTGTCTGAGACATTACTTCAGTATTTAAGGCCCAAAGTTTTCTAAGGAATCTGAGAGCTGCATGCAGCTGCCCTAGATCCCTATTAACAACAAGCCAAACTAACAAATAATGATGAAATGATTTCCTTATCTATTTTGAGTTAGAAAACTGTGTAGACAATGAAGCATTTTCTGAAACAAAGGGGCAAGAACTACTTGTCCCTTTCACTGAGATAAGAGGATGATAAGTACACAAAGGTCAGCAAACAGACATTGAAGGGTTCAAACCAAGAGCATAGCAAGGCAATGAGAACAGCATCCCCAGGTCCTCAGTGAGTGCAAAGCCCACCAACAGCTGCCTCCATGGTGCTCCAGAGCTGGAACAGCTGCTGTTGACATCCTGCAAACCAAAACAGTCCTTTCATGTTCTCTGCATTGGAATCCTATGAAATGGATTGGTATCTCACAGCACACCATCAAAACACAATGGGAGGCACAGCAGAAGGGTTATGGCTCCGCACTGTGACTTAGCCGTGATTATATTTGGATAACTCTGTGATCTTGTAAATGAATGTCATGAAATATGAGTTATCCATGAAGAACCCTCCCATCACCTCAAGGAGTGATGGAATTTAAGACCAAAAATAGCAGTTTCATACCAGGTGGGGGGAATATTCTGCAGTCAGTGAAACGGTTCTTGTGATAAAGCTTATTATTCCCAAGTTAGCTGGTCACAACACAGCAGCACCATGGGTATCAAGAGGTGCCTGCCATCAGCAGCACACACCAGGGAGCAGGCCACATCTGTCCAATTCAGATTCTAAATGGTGAACAACAGAAGAAATGCCACCCGGGGATGGAGTGCAGCAACAGGACACACCTTATCAGTTATGGGATGGATTTTGCTGAATGCCTTTGCCAAGTTCCCCTTGCTGGATGGTTTCTCTGAAATCCTAGAAACAGAGTAAAAATATAGTCCCATGCCTAGGTTGCCGATGACGCAAGTGTCTGTACCTGCACTCACAGGAATGAATAAAACTTGGCAGCAAATAATAAAATGTGAGTTTGTGGAAGCTGTCATTGTTGTTTTCCTCAACAAGATGTTAAACAACTAGCAGCATTTCTATTATCTGACTGAAATACCATAATGACCATAATGACTAATGGGCCAAGTTCTGTTTTCTGCCACAATCAAGCAGAGAAAAAAGTGTTCACCAGAATCTCTGGAAGGTGTCTAAAATATTTCAATTTATGTTAAAATAGTCTTCCACATCTATGTTCTGTGTAGCATTTCTAACCATGGGAATGGATGTATATAAAGGCAATTGTAACTTGTATGGTTTCTTGAAGATCACACTGGCTTCTCAGCCTTGTGGCAGGTTCAAAAACTGCAGACCTGTAAGACTTCCAAATTTGAAATGAGAGTTCTGCTTGTGTTTATGATGACAAGATACAAAAATGTTACAAATTTTAAACATGAATAGTAGAACTAGATGTTCTCACTTTTTCAGAGGGATGCTATTGCGATAAACAAAGGTGTTGCCATGTTTCGTGCTGTTTGCAATTTTAGTTACTCTGTCACAGCAAAATATGCTTTTGAGTGTGATGAAGACATTAATTTGCTGAGAAGGAATTACGGACTTTAAGTGTCATCAAAATGCCTATTAGTTGGAAAAATCTGTAACTTACCCACCTTTCTGTGTGAGCATGCATGTTCTTGAGCAGATTCGGGTCCACATGCACAAAGCCCTGCACAACCCACGGTGGCATCCCTACCCCACACCCACCCAGGCCCGACCCGCACGGCCGTAGGGGCAGCACCACGGACAGCGCCCGCATTACCGCGCCTTGGCCGGTGCTCTCACAGTCGCGTTTCCCACGCGCGGAACCATCCCCAGGAGCCAGAGACGAAGTCATGCTGATATATTCCTCTTTGCCTCGCAGATGCATCAGCCAAAATCCCTGCCGAGTTCCTTTTGTTTCAAAGGGAGGATTTTTAAAATCACCTGGCTTAAAAACTTCAGAACGCTTTCCTACCTGGAAACCATGCTTATATATCTAAGCGTGTCAAGAGGAGTTTTATTTTAACACTGTTCCAACAGACAGCAAAGACATGAGCATTCACCCAGTACTTATAATGCCTTCTTATGTCCAGTTTGTCGTGTTCAGCAAGGCCTAACAAGCTATATAAATTGTGTCCCAATGTGCCCCAGCATGAAGCTACAGAACAGCGGCCTCCTTTGCCAGTGAAGATTGCAGAAGTGATGGCCTGGCTGATATGATACTATAACCTCGACTGCCAGGTGTATGCAGCTGTGATTCTTGATGGAATGGAAAAGCACTCCGTGTTGTCTGGACATGATAGATAAAGTTCACCAAGTTGCAGTGCTCAATTCTTGGTCATGGAAGAAGCTGTTTCAAGCAAGAGTCGATAAGATGGCTAGAAAGGCAAATTCATAAGAAGGATGACACAGGATGACACAGCTCCACAGCTGGTAGACACACCTGCAAGGCATCAACACATTGAAAGTGACTGGTTGTATGCTAGACTAACTCTACACAGGTCTAAAGGAAGGCCAAGGTTCACAGATTTCAGCCACAAAATTTAATCTAATATCTCCTACATCAAAAGCTTGCTTAGTCAATGTGGTTATTGATTAACTATACTGACACACTCTTCTGTCTCAACAGCACCTTTCCTGCACCAGAAGCAACAGATTTTTGGATTCTGTGCTGCAGAACTCACCTGGCCAGTACCTGAGCTGTGTAGGACAATGGCTGCAGGCATGAATGTAGAGCTATGCTGTGATTCTGAGATGTTATGTCTGGTCAGTGCTCTTAGAATTTTGCAAGATAGCTAAGAGAAATGGTATATGGGGCCTCTGTGGGTGTACTGTGCATGAACTTTTCCAAAGTCCATGTGACACTTTGTGATGCTCTATGTCATTTTTCCACCCATAAACATCTCCAGAAACACTTTAATTAGTAATTCTTATGGGAAATAAACATAGATATGCCAGGAAAAAAAAATTCTTTATAGATCTAACATTTTAAACAGACACAAGGTGGGAGAAAAGAAGTTTTGTATAACAAACTGCCCGTTCTCCCAGCCAGTCTGAAACAAGACCTAGCCCAAGGGAGCATGGACCCATAGGGGCTGTCCACCTGCATGGAGGAGCACTTTGCCATGCAGATGCACTTGCATCAGGATCGGCAGTTTTATCAGCCTGACACACACACAGGCTTTTCCTCTCGGCCAGGCATATTTGCTTGGGCTCAGAACTCTGTCAGCACACACACAGGATTGGACTAGCAAGTTCAGAGCCAACAGGGTGTCTTTTCACTGAACTCCCTGACAATGCAGCCCTGATCTCTCTCACCCTGTCTGAGGCTTAGCCAAGCATGCAGATGATAAGACTCTCCACTGTTCCTCCCCTTTCTTGCTTTTCATTTGTTGTTTGAGATAGTTTGAAGCAGAAAAAGACTTTATTTGCTCCTATCATTTAGTATTGACTGAAGCTCTTTAGATTTCTCCGAAATAGTCCTACATGACAAACACAATACCAAAGGATAGGCACTGACTTTTTAAATACATTTTTGTCTTGAGGCTTGCGACTATCACCTATCCTTTGGGTCTAATTCATGACATTGCCACAGGGTCTGAATGAAGGCAGCACTGAGCTGGACAACAAGGGATGCAGTGAGAGCTTGGAAAGCCTAAGCTGGCCTTGGCCCAGAGAGAAAGCAAGTTTGCAGGAGCCCAATCCCTTAAGTAGCTTATCTCCTCCTGTCTGCTGCAGCACATGGGTGTACAGTGCAATTGGGACTGCAGCCTCTGTCCACTGGTGCAGAGCCACCTTGGACTAGTCTAAGGTTATGATGGTTGGCAGAAACGTGAGAAACTGAAAAGGCAGATCTCAATCCTGCATTATTGGAGGGAAGAGCTGAACACACATCTCCCACAGCCAATGGAGATGTGTGTGAACAAACTCACTCTAGTGAAGATCTGGCTAGTAATACAGTGTGAGACGTATACAAAAAACAAGAGCAGACCTCATAGCTGCCCAACACATAGAGCACTGAGTTACAGTTTGATCCTCCGGGTTCAGATGTGTGATCCCAGCTGGGAGCAATCATCCCAAATATTACAGCCTGAAGTTTGGAAAATGTCATAAACAATTCCAGCCAATCTATTCCTACTTAGATAAATCACTGGCAATTAAAACAAATCACAAAAATACAGACTGGTGCTAACAGGGGCCTACAGGTATTATGTACAGAGAAAAACTCAGTACCATATCAGGATGGACCAAAGGGAAACCTGGTCCTCATGTAACAACTAAGATGTTTGTTTTGATAAAACAGATAATAATAGAAACATTTCTGTTTTGATGAATAGTCATCCTGCAGTGAACTCCAGAAAAGACTTCAATGTTTTCCTCTTCAGGGTGGATGAGTGGTTGTGATTTGTAGAATTTGCTAGAAGAGGAATATTGAAACCAAGAGGTGTCGAGTCTTAAATCATCATCTCCCAGCCCAAAACATTAGCTTTGAAACTGGCCACGGAAAGAAAAATCATACAAAAATATTTTCAAAATAACTGAGAAAAAGATTAATCCTTTTAGGAAAAAATCCAATGAAGAAATAGGACATTTTTTCCCCAAATTAAGATAGAAAGTGACTGCATGAAAGAGAGGAAATGTAGTTTTAGATAGAGCTGTCTGAAACGAAACTGAAAAAAAGGACTAGATCACATTACTGTCTTTATACTGCAAATTGTTTGCCATACCAGCCATGATGGCGGTGTGTGCGCCCACTCACCTCAACCCTGCATGCATGCATGGAAGCAGCAAAGAGCCAGGCACAGGCAGGAGCCCTAGGACTAGCTCTTCATAGCTCACACCTGACCCAGACCCATCTCACATCTGTCCATGCAGATCTGGCAGGCCCCAAGTACAACCTTGTTGAGATCCTCAACAGGCAGTATGGACTTAGTCTTGTGTTCATCACTATGCATTTAATAGCTTCCCAGTGCACACTGACCATTGCAAGGCTGTGCCCTGAAACAACAACAACAAAAGCACAATTGTCTCTTCATTAGCTGCTCTTTATCAATGAGCACTACAGGAGCACATTGGTGAAGTAAAGTGTAACTTTCTTCTTGATGTAAAGTAGCCACAAGGATCTAGATCACAGCAGCAACATTCTGCTAATAAACTGTCTCAATTAGTAAAATACGTTGTCTTTGTCCAGGTAGCAATCTCTACACAGCATATTTCTTTCAACTGTTCAATGAACAAGGCTTTCAAATTAGGACAGTTAGCCTCTGAAATAACACTTTCTTGTAGCAACAAGCAAAGGGACAGACTCGTTCTTCCTCTTTATTGATATATATCAGGAAAGATGAGTCTTTTATAGGATTACCACTTATTAAGAAACTATCTTCTTTCCCTTTGATGCTGAGAACTGAAGCTGAGCCCACCTTTTTGTTCTTTTTTTTTCCTCCCATTAGTTCTTAAGTGCAAGTTTATAAATCCTTTTTTGTTCAAGGAAAATTTATCTAGCATTGCAATTCACCTGCAGTAGTATCTGTTCAGTGGTGATTCATCACTACAGGACATAAATTTTGTCCCTAAATCTTGCAAAAAACTGCTTTCAATAGCACAGAAGGGAAAATGGAGAAGCTCAGTATTTTGAAGAACAGCAAGCCATTAAAGAAAGGAGCCAGAAATCACTGTTGGACTTAGATGTGAAGAATATAGAACAGTCTTTACTGAATGGAATGACCTGTGCTTGTTGAGAATTGGTCTTTTAAAATTTTTTTATAGCATGGTGAACAATTTTGATGCTTCAGGAAATTTTTCTTGCAAGAAAGGGACACTCCTCCATATAATTTATTTAGTTGTTATTTTCACAGCTTTTTACGGAAGATCATTATTGAATTTGGGCTTCAAAACTACACACGAGAGCCAATGCTGTTTTCTTCTGATGAACTCTATACATTTCCTCTGAGCAGAAACTATTTTCACTCTTATCTCCTCAGGATCATTTTATCACATGGAACTTGAAATGTGTTGGAGTTTCTCTTGACTTGTTCTAGTCTTTAAGGAGAAGAACCTGACTTTTCTTCCATTGAGAGCGCTGTCTGTTTCCTATGTGAGTTCACTTTGAGTAATTCATTTCATTTCACAGGAAGTCTGTTCCTGTATTTGCCCTGTAAATACAGGCACAATGTCAGAGATCTCCTTTTAGTGTATACTGCTAAGCTTTAATAAAACTCTTGATTTTGGAAAGATTGCACAACACATCGTAAATCACCACCTTTGAAGGCATAAGGCAATACTTCCCTGTTACAAAGCTGCACACAGACATTTTCCAGAATTTGAACAATTCAGCCTCCTGGTAAGAAGAAAAATCATTTGCTTAAACACCTGTATGGAAAGTGATATCTAATCTTTTATGTTCACTGTTGGAGAGTGCTCAGGTCAATCAACAGTCAATAGAAGGTAGTTGTAACTCTTATTTTCTATTTTATTTTACAGTCAAGGTTGAGTATTTGTTTTTGAAAGATTGGCGGGGTTGGTTGGCAGTGCCAGGGAACCGGATTCTCTTTATCTGTGTGCTTGTTACAAGGAGGAGGCAGGTGCACAGCAAGCCTTCTAACACGGTCAGCAGCAATAATCCCCACCTGAGCACTGACTGGCCACCTGCTCTTCAGGCAGAAAGATAATTCAGGCTTGAAGTGAGCGTGGTTCTAAGTCTCTGCTAAGTAAAGACTCATAAATGACTCAAATTACAGCAAGATCAGGGGGCATGTCAATATATCAGTGTTTGATCAC